CTCATTGCTCGACTGATGCTATGGGTTGGGACTGTGTGTGATAATGTTAATCTTTTTGTGCAAGCTGTTTTTGGAATAAACACTCTGTGCCTCTCAGTCGACTCAACCACACCAAGCACATGCTCCCCACACTGTGTGTGCCACTGACTGTCGGTTAACCCGCAGCTCCAGCTCGAGTCGGAGGTCCCTTTTGAACTCACTTAAATTTTATTTGTATAGCACCAAATCACAACAGTTATCTCATAGCGCTTTTTATGAAAGAGCTGGTCTAGAGTGTATTCTGTGAGGAGCAGCCTACAAACTATACACACAGACGAACAGACAGTGAAAGTAATGTTGGCACAGGCGGAATGAATAATGGTACAGATATTTATAGTAATGTTTATGATAGTAATTGTAATGTTAATGATAATAATAACAATAATAACAACAATAGGACTACCAACAATAATAAAATAAAAGTAGCAGAGGGTGTCGAGAAGGAGGTGACCTGCAACCACAGATCCAGACTCCACAGCTCCAGGGCCAGAAACACCTGCAGAGAGTGATAGGAGAGAAGAGAGGGACGAAAAAGCACAAGACTACGGGAAAGGGAAGAAGTCAAGTTAGTAACATGCATTAATGGGAAGAGGTTGCATACAGAGGGAGAGAAAGAGGAGAGAGGAGCTCAGTGCATCATGGGAAGTCCCCCTGCAGTCTAGGCATTTAGCAGCATAACCAAGTGTCACAGTTAGTGGTGGTAAGGCAGGTTGGAGGACCCAAATGCAGGACATGTTGAGCGGAGCAGGTATTGTTCAAAAGTTTAATAAACAAAGGCGAGCACACTTACAGGCGGAGTGGCTGATAACAAGTCCAAAAACAAGGAATCCAAAAGAAACCAAAATCCATAGAAACCGGGTGACAAGACGAGAGTGATGAGCAGAGCAGGCTACACAGGACAACACACACCAAGAAACTGTAATGACCGGACAAAGACTAAACAGAAACACCAGGTATATATACACAAGGACTAACGAGCAGGGCGGGAGCAAAACAGGTGACAGACAAGAGAGACAGCCAGGCAGAGAGATACTGGAGGGAACAGACATGACACAGGTTACTGAACACATAACAGATCAGAGGAATAAATATAAACAAATCAAGACACAAACAGACACATCCCTACTAAACTAACACCAAGAAGGAACACAGACCGAAGCTAAGTAAAACACTGAACTGGGAACTAAGGCATCAAGAAGACAGACATGAGTGACAGACAGAGACGGACATGAGTGAAACCAAAAACACAGACAGACTATATAACTGATACTGGACATAGGACAGAAAAATAATGCAGACGAGGAACAAGAAGTAAATACTAAAACATAACCAAGGCACAGGACTGGGAACAAAGGCAAAGAACTAAAACATAGGACCAAGACCATGATAAAAGACGAGACATAAACTACTAAGGACAAGGAACGAGAGAAACAGGCGAATAGATAGACATATGAAACAATGGCAAAAACTCAAACTCACAGGGAAAAAACTACAACTCATAACACTAAGGGATGGTTCAGGACTCACCTGAGCCAGCCCTAACTATAAGCTTTATCAAAGAGGAAAGTCTTAAGCCTACTCTTAAATGTGGAGAGGGTGTCTGCCTCCTGAACCCAAACTGGAACCTGGATCCACAAGAGAGGAGCTTGATAGCTCTTCACACAACCCTTCTCACAGAAATAATCTTCATAATCGTCATAATCGTGTATACAGAACACATTCACACACCCTGTACGGATATTTCTTATCTAAAAAAATTCTGCTGTGCAGTGTGTGATACTGTTTCGTGTATGCCACTCCCTACATTACGCACATTCCCCCTGGCAGTACCTGTCCACTGACACAGTCCCTCTGTGTGCATCCAGGGGCCCCCCCTTTGTTTCACAGAAGGCAGGCTATGCAGGCCCTGTGTGTAGTGTTATCCTATTTGCCACTCCCCACATTCTGCACGTTTCCCCCCAGCAGAGCCCGGCTGTGGGCTCATGCATAATCATGGCATCACTGGCACAGTCCCTCTGTCTGAATCTGCCCACGGAAGTTATAATCACGCTCCTGCGGAGAAAGCACTACACACACGGCGTGTATCAGCTGTTTTCGTCCTGTAAAATCTGCTGGGCAATGTGCTGTCATTATGTCGCTCCACATTTTAGACACGTTCCCCCAGGCTGTGCACATCCCACATTTCCTCTTCCTGCATCCAGGGGTGTGTGACAGCATTATCATGTGTGTCCCGTACACTTTATGCACGGCAGGCGACAGTGACCTTACTTGGAAACTGCATGACCTTAGTGTTGCACTTTACAGATCAGCTTTAACAGTTTTTGGATTAAAACTGCTGTTAGTCATTTTCCCCACATTGTGTGAGCCAGCTGCATGTTAGTCACAGAGTCAAGCTGCTGCCGCTTCTTGTCAGATGCTACTGCAGCATGGTTCCCGGCCCTTTCTAGGCGGGCCCCCCATGGGTCGCGGTGGGATTCATCCCCCCACCTGTGACGGCGGCGGGGGCAGTGGCGTGGCTCTTCTTCATGGCCACTACTGTGCTTCATCAGCATGTACACCCACTTTCAGAGTAGTAGTATTAGTGCTCGCTCCTATGCACAGATGGATAGAAAGCCTGATCTGCTGAGGGCACAAGCTGCAGTTTGTTTCCCCCCTTCGCCGGAATAGAGACTGTGTTCTCCTCCCTGACTCAGAACGTTGCCCTCCAGGCGGAACTCCATGAGCTCCTGGAGAAGCATGCTATCTCCAGGATTCGGGGTTCTAGTTCCGTTACTTCCTGGTCAGGAAGAAGACGGGGGCAATGAGGCCCATTCTCGACCTTTCATTGTTCAACAAAGCAATTATGGAGAGACCTTTTTGCATGTTGACAATGAAGCAGGTGCTGGAGTGCGTGTGCCAAGGGGACTGGCTCACCTCCATCGATCTGAAGGAGGAGAGAGAGAGACCCCCTCTCTCTGTTCGTCGGGATTCTGCTGGGCGGGGTCCCATCCCACATTTCAGTCTTCACAGACGCCCCACATCTGTCTTCACAGATGCCTCTCTGCTGTGGTGGGGCAGGACATGCCTCTCCCAGGTGGTGGGCGGCCTGTGGCGGACTCATATGCCTCTCTACATAAATGTGCACCAACAACAAGGTCACAGCGCTGCTTGGTTTGGACAGGCGGCTGCTCTTGCGGGGGCACACACTTCTGCCCTCGTCAGAGCAGAGTATATCCCTAATACAGTATATACTTAATCCTGCTTTTATGCCTAAGAGCATCAAACGCTCTTTTAAGTCGAGAGTGATTACCCTCACGGGCTTCTTCCCTCCTACTCATTGGTCTGAGGAAGAAGCTGCGTCCCACCTCCTCTACCCTGTAGGTGCACCGTCCTGCTATGTAGCGCGCATTGCCGCAAGCAGCGCCTGTTTGTGTACTACAGGGAGCAGCCCAAGGGGCTTCCCCTGTCAGCACAGCATCTGTGCGAGGCTATTTCACAGGCCTATGTGTTAGCTGGTAAATCTCCACTGGACAGTATCAGGGCGCACTTCACGAGAGGTCTCTTCCTCTTTGGCATTGTACGGTGGGATGACAGTGGACAATCTGCACAGCAGCCTCCTGGTTTTCCCCGTGCTCATTCGTCCATGTCTAACTGCAGGATGTCTCTCAGTACCGAGTGTTCTGTCTGAGTGACTGTCCTCTGTGAGTGAGCAGCGAGTCTTCTCCCAACTGGACAGTGGGGGGGACAGCCGCTGCTTGCGCTGGACCTGCTCATGCTGGCCCTGCTCATGCTGGCCTTGCACTGTGCGCAGCTGGAATGGTTGTAGTACGTAACCTTCGTCTGGGCCTGCAAAGATGCGGGGCCCCCAATTTTGTCCCCGGCTTATTAAGCATGGGTTGCTTTGCCTCCCCTATTTCACGCTATTGGTGAAAGTGCATCCGCAGTCACGAATGTCGCAAGGCTGCAGGGACTGGGTGGCTTATTATGTTGGCTCGTGGCAGGTGGATCTATGCTTGGTGGTACCTTAGAGGGCGAAGTAGAACGGTAGTTACTTATTCTATATATAGTGTGTGTATATATATATATATATATATATATTAGTATACTTATGTATTCTGTACTTACTCATTTTCTATAGAGTATAGACGTAGCCCTCTAAGTTGTGGGCCTCACTAGACCTGTGGTTCTCAGTGCTGAAGAAAAGGCATTATGGGAGCCGATGGCCAGGTCTCACGGGTGTGACAACATACAGTACAAGGTGACAATGAGATAGAGGCCCAAAGGTGGGGGAGAGGGAGAGAGACGAAGCTATTTTCAGTGCTGCCCATGCGCGCATATGGGGAAAACCCAATAGCGATAGCCTTAGAGGGCTGCGCCTATACTCAATTTCGGATTACAATCCGTAACTACGCTTGTCTCTCCACGCGTGTCTAATGCCAAATTAGAAGTATATGCAAGGGCCTTGAATCTGAATCAATATCCAGTGACTAGTGAATTGTACCTAGCAATCATTTTGATCCAAAACCCCCCACCTGTAGTGCTATTTATCCATCTAGATTGTTGAGATGTCTTCTCTTGAATGTAATATAAAATCCCACAAAGTAAGTGGCCAACAGCCCATGCATGTTAACCTGCAAGTTTAAAATTTTTGATCATTTTGCAGGTTTCAATATTCATTTTACGGATCATACTGTTTATCATATTGTAATATTATTTCCATGTTTCAGATTTAACTATAGAAAATTTACAAGATCTGTCAGTTGTTAATTTTAAACAATAACACACACACACATTTAAACTATCACATGCATGTGCATATCCAGGGTTGATTTTGTACAGTAGGCTAATATGATATGACATGACTAATGCAAAGTAAATGCAAAGTAAACAGTGTTATTGCACTCTTCAGAATTATGACTAAAAAAGCCCTTAATGAATGCATGTCTAATTCTAACACTACTGTCCTTGTCCTGGTCTTGTAGGGTCTGGTATGATCTGGCTGGATGAACTACGGTGCTTCGGAACAGAGTCTGATATCTTTAACTGCCCACACAGTGGAGTTGGTGTTAATAACTGCCAACACAACGAGGACGCCGGAGTGCAGTGCATCTAGACTGGCACCAAGACAAACAAGAAACATGTTTTTTTTATGCACACTTAGGTTTGATTAACATGCAGTAATAAGTTGAGTGGCAGGCATTGTGCAGACACACACATACATAAAGTATATATACCCTAAAGAGAGAGAGAGAGAGAGAGAGAGAGAGAGAGAGAGAGAGAAATTGAATTTTCAAAAAAATCAGTTGTTAAAATCTTAAAAAACATACAACACTATAAAATCAATTTGTCACCATGTACAACATTATTTTGTATATAAATAAATAACACCAATTTAAAATGCTTTAGCACCAGGATCAGTCTTCAAGAAGAGTGCAAACTGCAGTTTCTCATCAGCAACCACACAGAACACACTATTGTAACACCATATTTGCTCAAAAGTTTCAAGATCTTTCATTGCTTTATAATAATAAAAATCAATTAACAAATCGAGACCTCACAAGAATTGAAAAAAACATTGCACTGTCATCACTAGACAATTGCTCAATTTTATTCTTACAACTAGCTTAAATTGCCATTGTTTCTTGTCCAAGTCAAAATAAAACAAAAAAGTGATTGTAAAACAGCATTGAACAAAGAAACAAAAACATTAACTGCAATTACTCCATGCAGAATTCTCCATTGTAAATCATTAGTTTTTTAGAGTAACGGTGACTTGTATCATGCTCGCCACTGTGATCTTACATTTTCCCCCATATGTAATCTACCCTCTTGTCCAGAGACCCTAAAACTGTCTCCCAACAGTTGCAATTCTTCTTTTGTCAACAACCCCTTCAAACTTATTTTGGATGTATGTTATTCCCCCAAAAATCTCCAAGATATTTAAAACCACTCCTGGTCCAATTTAAGCCAAGTGGAAGATTTGGCTCTCCACTTGACCATTTCCCAACCAGCATGGCTACACTTTGAACAGTTTACTTTTGCAGAGGAAACCATTTTAAAATCATCAAACATTTTTAAGATAATATTTATATTAACCTTGCTTCAACATTAAACCTCAATGCTATTTAACAAACCATTGACTTGGTCAACATTTTTTAAACCTCCTGATCAGCAAAGATCTTGTTTTCATAATTAACTGATCCACATCAGGGAAATAATCTTCAATCTTCAATGGACATTTCTAGCATGTTTTGTCTCTTTCAAATACAATTTTATATCACCCACACTCTATTCACGCCTGACAAATCCACTTAGCAGTAAGTTGCAGGTTACAGTACAGTGCCCATTACCTTGTTTAATTAAATAATCTTTGTTAAGGTAGTAGTTCTCGCCACTTCAATTTGAGAAGTTCTATTACCATGTTCTTAAGACTGTGTTGAAGAGAAGAATCTATAAAGAAAGTTAATTTGCAGTTTTCTAATCTTCCTCAATACTCACTGATGTTCCTTAAATTTATGTTATGCTAATGCCATGCTTCAACACATTTTTATATATTTTCTTGTTAAAGAACATGTAACAGAAATATTATCATGTGTTAAATAATTAATTTCCCCAGCTCCGGAGCAAATCAGTTATCTCAGTCTCCTTTCATGGGAGCAGAGCTCCCTCCAGAGGACAAAAGAAGTATTACATGTAATGCATCTCCCGCTGTTTTAAGGTATCACTCTGTATTTTATTGTGTATAATCTGATGCCATGTTCGTTCAACTTGCTTATATATTCTCTAAGTAAGAATGGTTAACTGCCAATATTATCCAGGAAATGTAGTTAACTTCCTGCCATCCTGAAATCCTGAAAATATGGTAACATTCCAATCACTACAACGATTAAGTAATTGTTTAATTTCCTTTTTATAACTAAGAACGGTATAACTGTTTGTGACATTTAAGGTTTGATTGTGGGAAGGTATTTGATTAAAATACGCGCAAATAAATTTTAAAATAGACATTATAGTTAAGGGACAGCCTCTCTCAGGAGACCGGAAATAAACCCTCAGGGGAAACACATAGGAAACTGCTCGCTCGCTTGTTCTCTGGTCTCTTAACTTTTGCTCTTCGCTCTGCACGCTTACGGAGCGTGCCCCATCTCCTAGCAACGCCCTAAGGAGTCTGGCCCGGAAGTTATTATCATAACTTGCATTCATTCGTTCCCTTGTTCTCTTACTAAAATCCTTTTCCAAATAACTCAGACCAACTAAATTCACATTGAACTCCACTGCATTCTCATTATGTGCATCCTGTTTGTTTAGCCATTGTTTATTTCTTTGATGTATATTTAACCGCATTTATATTAATCTTTAGTTAGTTAATAAATTTCTCCATAATCACAGGAACTGTGTGTGTATTGTTTAACTCCAGGTCACTGTAACGGAGGATTTACGCCTTTGATATGAGATTGACTGAATGACAGATCACTAGGAATAATTGTGTAATTATTAAACCCATAACGTTACCTAGGGATTCCGGAGACCCTGGGCGAACTGAATTTCCGGTGGTGCCTCGAGGATTTATGAATTAATATTTCTGAACAATTAATATTCATAATTTTTATTTAACAGTAAAGTACTACAATTGGAATCTTTTTAATTGAGTAATAATGAATAATCTCATGTCCTCCGCTGGAGAGAGAGAGAGAGTAACTACATGAAATTAATCCAACTAACATAACACCACAAGCCAAACACAGCGCTGGAGAATAAAACAATCCAACAACACCGGCATCTCGTTCCCTCGTGAGTCTCTGGTCTCCCACCCGGCCTCTGTTTTGCTGTCCCCAGAGCAACACTCCGGCCAGGGAATGCTTTTATTGCGGCAAACCTGGCCACCTCCTGCCTGCCTGTCCTGTGGGGCCAAAAGATTCAGCTCATCAGTAGTTTTGGGGCTACTGGCGAGCCGAAACCCTTCACCCCATCTCCGAGTCCTCTCCCTCATGGCCCTTATTAACTCGGGCGCAGATGAAAACTTTTTGGATATCTGGGGAACTCTCTCCCCAGATCCCCCTTGACACTCCCCTCCATGCTACTGGACAGCCCCCTCACCACCTTCACTCATCGCACTCAGCTGCTACACCTCGTCACCTCTGGAAACCTCTAAGAGTCCTCTCTTTCCACCTGATCTCCTCCCCGTCCACACCCCTTGTCCTTGGCCTCCCCTGGCTAGCCGCTCACAACCCCAACATCGACTGGTCGCGGGGGAAGATCAGGAATTGGAGCACGAATTGTCACGCGTCCTTCCTTTTGTCTGCTTGAGTCCCCGGTAATCGTGCTTTACCTGTCCCGCCGCCCATCCCTACTGATCTATTCGGGGTGCCCAAACTTCAGCACTGTCGCCGCCGCCCTCTCACCCGTCTCACTTCCTCCTTGGTCCCCTTTGCCTGGTCTCTGGAAGCCGCTGCAGCCTTCACCCTGCCACTGGAATGTCCCCATTCATGTGCGCCTTGGGTTACCAGCCCCCCCTGTTCCTGTCCCCTCTGTACAGGGACATCTTAGGTGTTGCCGCAACCGTCAGCTGGCAGACTGCCACCGGGCCCCTGCTCCCACCTACCGGCCAGGGCAGCGAGTCTGGCTCTCCTCCAGTGACCTCCCCCTGCAGACCCCTTCCAAGAAACTCGCCCCCCGGTTCATCGGCCCCTATCCCATTGAGGCCGTCATTAACACCTCTGCTCTGCGCCTGACCCTCCCGCCTCACCTGAAAGTCCACCCCGTTTTCCACGTCTCCAGAGTCAAACCTGTTGCCACCAGCACCCTCTCTGTATCAGTGGCAGCGCCTCCCCCGCCGCGGATGATAGACGTTCACCCCGCCTACACGGTGCGCCAGCTCCTGGATGTGCAGCGTAGAGGTCGGGGCTACCTTTACCAGGTGGTCCCTCCAGCCAGATCCTAGACAAAACCCTCCTGATGGACTTTTACATGGCCCATCCAGATAAGCCGGGTGGGCCACCTGTGGGCGTCCGTTGAGGGGGGGGGGCTTGTTGTGGGGACAGCCCGACTGACGGTGAGTGTCCTGTTTTTTTCTCGTTTTATTTCTCCCACTGTTTTGCTCTCCTGTACTCCTGTACTGCGCCTGTGTTCTCCTCCTCTCTCTCTCTCTCCGCTCCTGAGCCCAGCCAACGACCCGCACCTGCACCTTGTCAGCAACCTCCCCAGCCTGCCACACCTGCCAGTAATCAACCTCATACCTGCCTGTATATCAACCCCGGTTCTCCACACCATCTTCGCTTGATTGTCGTTGCTCCCAACCTGGTGCCAACCTCTCTCAAGGTCCAGTTAACTCCAGAAGAGATCTCAGTTTTCCAGCCCCTGGTTATTTCCTGGGTTTAACTCTGTCGTTCTGCTTTCCCTCCCAGGTTCACGCACCCTCGTCCTCCGTTCTGTCGGCTGGGCTTGTCCTCCGGTCCTCTCCACTCGGGCTTCCTCCTCGGCGCCCTCCCGGCTCCCCCCTCTCCTCGCCAGCCCTCCTGATACCACGCCACTCCAATTCCTGTTGCCAGCAGGTGGCGCTATGACTGTGGGTGAATGTTGGCATGTACATGTGTTCAGGGCGGGACTCTCATCCTACATGTACAGTTTGGTCCAGATGTGAGCATGTACACAGAAGTTACAACAACTTCCGGTGGGAGAGTTATCAAGCACGTAAAGTTTGTTTCAGAAGTGAGCATGTACACTGAACAATAATGTACCCAAACAATAAAATAAATTCCTTTTATATTTCCCTGCCTTGTTGTTTATGTGTACATACAGAGGGAGAATGTGAGAACAGCACACATTTCATCGTTACTGTGTGTTAGAGCATGGGAGAACAGTGGATACTTTTAATACAGCCCACACCCCTAATACTGTGTAACTATAACAAGTAGAGAACAGAAGAAAAAGATGTTGCTGCAAAAACTGTCTGCATAGCTCATTCATATTGTGTAATGAATGAAAATAAATAGGCCTACTAGGCTCCTCTCTACTTTGACATTTAAGATTAGCTTGTTTGATCCACCTTCATACACATGTGACATTACTGTACAACTTGAGAAAGGTGAGTTGTTTTCTGCTCCAGCCTGCCTAAAAGAAAAGCGTTTTTGGGATTAAATGGACTTTATTAGCTGCTGCAGTGCAGGATGAACTCAGAACAGACCCATTTCTCACCTTATTATTCTAAACCATGCAACGAAGAAGAAGAAATGCATAATAAATCCTGGGACAAAATCTGTCCACAAATACTGTACAGCATGTATGTCTGATGAACAAGACTTGTGTTATAGCTGACTTGGGCAGAATTTTTTAAATTCATGTGGTCATAGTTGTCCACAACTCAAATCAGAATATAAGAAGAAATGTTTTATACCACCTCAAGAAGGCTTCCTATCAGAAAGGTAGGAAGGTATTTCAAATGTACAACTGCAGTACTTAAATCTAAGTAAAGTAATTTCCCTGACATTTTTGTGTTACTTTACTTTTAATAGACGCATGTAAGAGGTTTTATACTTCCTGTGAGTATAATCCAATCAATCTTATTTTCATACTGTATATCCGTTGTGTAATTTGATAAATTGTGTTGTATGTCGTGCTCGCATCTCAGAGAAGACTCTGACTGTAACATGCGTCTTTGTAAAGAGAGAAACGGACAGAAAAAGTCTCTAACTCTGCCTGTCAGCTCGCTCTGCTCCGTTAAAACTGAATTTACCATACAGAATTGAATACGAGTGCACTCCAGATTTAGCTGCAGCCAGCTGACCGTGTGCTCCTCCCTATACTGCAGTTCTGTGTCCATGCATGCAGCAAACTGAAAGCACTGTCTGTTGGAGCGTCTACGTGAAAAGAGAAGGAAGACATGGCTGGTTGTGTCTTCAGAGTTATTAAACACCTCAGCGCACTGAAGGAAGCCATCTGACTGTGTGAGGGGCAAGATCGTTGATGTCTGCAGGCAGAGTAGGCCTAGAGCTCTCCTGTCTGACTGGTCCACCAATAGCAGAGAAGATGACCCCTTGAGACACAGCCCCTCCTCATTTGCATAATGAGACAGAAATTTAAAAAGGACAGGCAGAAATAAATACCATGGGTGAAAATAAATAAGGTAGAAAAATACAAAGGAAGAATAACACAGACAAAAATATTAAAACACACACATAAATAAATATATTTTAAAAATTAGTAATAAATAAAGTTGAAGATTGTAACGGAGAATATATAAATAATGTAATTATAACAAAGGTGAATAAGTAAAGGCACTAATTAAAATATAAACATTTATGTCTCCTTGTATAATTTAATTACTACCTACATTTATTTATTTGCTTTATTTTTTTGTGTATTTAATTGGATGCTTATTTATTTATTGAGCACTTATTTATTTCTGTATTTATTTCTGACTGTGTCAGGATCGGTCCTCCATAGCGGGGTGGGAGAGTTATCAAGCACGTAAAGTTTGGTGCAGATGTGAGCATGTACACTGAAGTTACAACAACTTCCTGTGTCGTGGCGAAGACTTGATCTCTGACGCCACGCCACGGACACACCCATTGACGAAAACTCGCAAATAGCACAACTTTTCATCTTCAATGCCGTTAGAAGGCACAGCACAAATTTGAAGTCGGTCGGATTAAATCCCTAGGAGGAGCTCGTTAAAGTACGAAGTGTGTAAATCATCCAAAATTTGATATAAAATTCAAAATGGCCGACTTCCTGTTGGGTTTAGGGCATCGCTCCAAGAAACTTTTTTGTGCGTCTGGACAAGATACACGTACCACAGAAAATTCGTGCACGTAGGTGAAACGTGCGGCGGGGGCTGCTTCGTTAAAAGTCACTTCCTGTTGCCAGCAGGTGGCGCTATGACTGTGGGTGAATATCAGCATGTACATGTGTTCAGGGCGGGACTCTCATCCTACATGTACACTTTGGTCCAGATGTGAGCATGTACACTTAAGCTACGACAACTTCCGTGTCATGGCGAAGAGTTGATCTTTGACGCCACGCCACGGACACGCCCATTGACGAAAACTCGCAAATAGCACAACTTTTCATCTTCAATGCCTTTAGAAGGCACAGCACAAATTTGAGGTCGGTCGGACTAAATCCCTAGGAGGAGTTCGTTAAAGTACGAAGTGTGTAAATCATCCAAAATTTGACGTAAAATTCAAAATGGCCGACTTCCTGTTGATTTTAGGGCATCGCTTCAAGAGACTTTTTTGTGCGTCTGGACAAGATACACATACCACAAAAAATTCGTGCACGTAGGTGAAACGTGCGGCGGGGGCTGCTTCGTTAAAGGTCACTTTCTGTTGCCAGCAGGTGGCGCTCTGACTGTGGGTGAATGTCGGCATGTACATGTGTTCAGGGCGGGACTCTCATCCTACATGTACACTTTGGTCCAGATGTGAGCATGTACACTGAAGTTACAACAACTTCCTGTTTCATTGCGAATCATCAACGCCACGGACACGCCCATTGACGAAAACTCACAAATAGCACAACTTTTCATCGTCAATGCCTTTAGAAGGCACAGCACAAATTTGACGTCGATCCGACTAAATCCCTAGGAGGAGTTCGTTAAAGTACGAAATGTGTAAATCATCCAAAATTTGACGTAAAATTCAAAATGGCTGACTTCCTGTTGGTTTTAGGGCATCGCTCCAAGAGGCTTTTTTGTGCGTCTGGACAAGATACACGTACCACAGAAAATTCGTGCACGTAGGTGAAACGTGCGGCAGGGGCTGCTTCGTTAAAAGTCACTTCCTGTTGCCAGCAGGTGGCGCTATGACTGTGGGTGAATGTCGGCATGTAAATGTGTTCAGGGCTGGACTCTCATCCTACATGTACACTTTGGTCCAGATGTGAGCATATACACTGAAGTTACGACAACTTCCTGTGTCATGGCGAAGACTTGATCTTTGACGCCACGCCACGGACACGCCCATTGACGAAAACTCGCAAATAGCACAAATTTTCATCGTCAATGCCTTTAGAAGGCACAGCAGAAATTTGACGTCGATCCGACTAAATCCCTAGGAGGAGTTTGTTAAAGTACGAAGTGTGTAAATCATCCAAAAATAGCCGTAAAATTCAAAATGGCCGTCTTCCTGTTGACTTTAGGCTATGGGTTCTTGAGGCTTTTTTGTGTGTCTTGATATGATACATGTCCCCTAGCTAGCGAGTCCTTTTGCCACGCCCATGCGCGAAACCGATAAAATACGAAATTTTTCACCGGTTCTGACATGTTTGCAAATTTTGGTGAGTTTTCGAGTATGTTTAGGCCATGTTAGTTGAGCCTACTTTGCAGGAAAAAAAAAAAATATATATATATATATATATATATATATATATATACAGTGGGTACGGAAAGTATTCAGACCCCTTTAAATTTTTCACTCTTTGTTTCATTGCAGCCATTTTCCAAAAATCAAAAAGTTCATTTTATTTCTCAGTAATGTACACTCAGCACCCCATCTTGACAGAAAAAAACAGAAATGTAGAAATTTTTGCAAATTTATTAAAAAAGAAAAACTGAAATATCACATGGTCATAAGTATTCAGACCCTTTGCTCAGTATTTAGTAGAAGCACCCTTTTGATCTAATACAGCCATGAGTCGTTTTGGGAAAGATTTTTCACATCTGGATTTGGGTATCCTCTGCCATTCCTCCTTGCAGATCCTCTCCAGTTCTGTCAGGTTGGATGGTAAACGTTGGTGGACAGCCATTTTCAGGTCTCTCCAGAGATGCTCAATTGGGTTTAAGTCAGGGCTCTGGCTGGGCCATTCAAGAACAGCCACGGAGTTGTTGTGAAGCCACTCCTTCGTTATTATAGCGGTGTGCTTAGGGTCATTGTCTTGTTGGAAGGTAAACCTTCGGCCCAGTCTGAGGTCCAGAGCACTCTGGAAAAGGTTTTCGTCCAGGATATCCCTGTACTTGGCCGCATTCATCTTTCCCTCGATTGCAACCAGTCGTCCTGTCCCTGCAGCTGAAAAACACCCCCACAGCATGATGCTGCCACCACCATGCTTCACTGTTGAGACTGTATTGGACAGGTGATGAGCAGTGTCTGGTTTTCTCCACACATACCGCTTAGAATTAAGGCCAAAAATTTCTATCTTGGTCTCATCAGACCAGAGGATCTTATTTATCACCATCTTGGAGTCCTTCAGGTGTTTTTTAGCAAACTCCATGCGGGCTTTCATGTGTCTTGCACTGAGGAGAGGCTTCCGTCGGGCCACTCTGCCATAAAGCCCCGACTGGTGGATTGCTGCAGTGATGGTTGACTTACTATAACTTTCTCCCATCTCCCGACTGCATCTCTGGAGCTCAGCCACAGTGACCTTTGGGTTCTTCTTTACCTCTCTCACCAAGGCTCTTCTCCCCCGATAGCTCAGTTTGGCCGGACGGCCAGCTCTAGGAAGGGTTCTGGTCATCCCAAACGTCTTCCATTTGAGGATTATGGAGGCCACTGTGCTCTTAGGAACCTTAAGTGCAGCAGAAATTTTTTGTAACCTTGGCCAGATCTGTGCCTTGCCACAATTCTGTCTCTGAGCTCTTCAGGCAGTTCCTTTGACCTCATGATTCTCATTTGCTCTGACATGCACTGTGAGCTGTAAGGTCTTATATAGACA